AGACAACTGTTACAAATTATAACAATATGGTTTTAACAGATGTGAATTGTTCTATTTCTGTTGGGATCTGTTTCCATCCAGCAAAACAAAGCTGCAGTTCATTTCCACGTTTGGTTTTCTGATAAGAATGGCAAAATCTTCTAAAATAAAGAGTGGTTTGGGTTGTTTTGTCCACATGTGCTTCATGGCTTTAAATAGCTATTTTTCAGACCTTGTGAGGAAGGTGGGGAGTTGTAAAAAAGAAAAAAAACAGCAGCTAACAAAGCATTATGGACAGAGATGAGACATACAGCAGAAAAACGCACCACATAGAATTATTCTTTCTTTTTATCCTTTTTCACAATAAACCAGTCAATATTTTCTAACGAATACCTCAAAAGGACATTTGTGAACTAGAAAGGAACACTATGCTGTTGTGTTCCGTAAGGACATTTGACCTTTATATGTGTCTTGTTTCTTAACTGGTTTCACTGCATGTTTGGATCCATTTGTTTTGGAAAAAACACCCTTTTCTGTCATGCAGTAACAAAGCAGATTTACCACTAAACATGACCTCCTTATGCAGACAGGACTAGTCCGTGATGAAAACTGTCATTAACTTCTTAATTATCTCACGTTTACAGAATATAAACTAGTGAATACGTACATATTTCTGAAATAATTTGATCATAATGCCCAGCTCTGCTCCAGTTGGACTTCACCATTATTTAGATCCTTCCCTCCCTTTCTTTCATGGCACGCCTTTTAATGAGGTTGCTCATGAACTGATATCTGACACCTGACGCACCCAACTGAAAAAGCCTGTGAGTAAAACTCTCTGATGTCACAAACCGGACGTGAACATGTAAAAACGTCACGCCATGCGGAGAACATCAGCGCTTACACAACTGAGCCACCCCTTATTTTCCATTGCAACAAAAGAAGCACTCATAAACACCAAACCCCCAGCACATGTGCACTCTGAAGCCCTCGTATACTCATTTCTTTTCTCTGTATTATACCTCACGAGTGCCCAGATCATTTGGTCTTCCGTGTTCTTTTGGAAATTTTGTGGCTCATGATTTATTTAGTAGTTATTGATTTGCTACTTCACCGACACACACTCACACATCTAAGCTATCCTCTATGCTTTCTATCACAGAGAAACAGTGAGATATGTACAGAGCTATGCAAATGATCTTAGCCCTTTGTGGTAATCTTTCACATAAAAAACACACACACACGCACACACACACACACACAAACACATACATTTGACCCTGTTGCCACTCCCTTCTTTCACAGGTAACCTTTTCTTAAAGAAGCCTGTGATTTTTATTTGAGTTTCTTTATCTAAAATTGCCTTTGCCTCTTTAAATCCATCTCTACATATAGTGTTTCTTCCTGTAACGCCCCGTTAAACAATCCTCAACCCTTTGTCCTCTGTCTCCAACCAATCCTTTTTCTATAATCATTTTGGTTGATATTCTGACTTCATCTGCCCCCTTCACGGCTCTTCCCTGTGTCCTTCTCCCCCATCTTCATCACCTCCCTAATCCCCCTCCGCCTGCTCTTGTCTCTGTGTCAGTTATTCTGTTTTCCCATCAATCTCCATTTAACTTTCTGTTTTTCACCCATGGATCCCTCAATGCAAGCCTTTTCCCCAAAACGCCATACATCTACATTTCTCCCATTTGCACCTTCCACACCCCCCTTTCTTGTCCCGAACCAACGGTTGCCCTTGCACCCAAACCCTCCCTCCATCCTTCCGTCTCTATTCTGTTTGTTCAAGGCCTCCTTTAACGAAGCCAGTCTCCTCCCAGGTCTTAACAGGCTATTGTCAACACTGACATCTGGCCTCACATGCACACACTGAGACTTATGTGAGAGCATGAACACACAAGTTCACAGACTTATAAAGCACACACAGAAATACACACAGCCCCCTACAAAAGGTCTCAACCTCTTCTATCCTTTGTCCCGTCCTCTTAATTCCTCAGTTTAGCCTTTAACACTCTCACTCAAAAAAAAGAGAGCCAAGTTCACCTGCTCTGAATTCTTTTCAAATCTGTATCTAATTATTTAAATGTTACAAAGACAGTTAACTGTTGCCAAATTAAAAATAGTGACTGCAAAAAAGTCAGCATCACTCAAGCTGAAACTTGAAAAGAGACACCCTGATATTTTTAAGAACCTGGTAACCTGATATTTAATGTTGGAATCATATGGAAGTAAAAATAAAAGGTTTTGTGTATAACAAGTTAACAAAATTCTTATTCTAAATTGATGACATACATATTTATCGCCAATTCTGTTAAAACCTTCAAAATGTCACACGGCAAAATCTTGTAATTGCAGATGGGTAATAGACCTGTCACACACTCTGTTTCCTTGTTGCATAAACATGGGTTCATCCCTCTATTCTCTTCTCTCTTTCTCCGAAATCATCCCCCAAAGCATCTCTCCTGTTTGTATAAATATTTCACATCCAAAAGTTAAAAAGGCCTGTTACTTTACACTTCAAGGACCCTAGTGGATGCATTTCCCACATACACCACAACAGCCATTATGTCTAAGTGTGAATGTGAACAATGACGATTAAAAAGATTACGTATTGCAAATGACCACAAAAGACTAACAGTGCTTTTACATGTCTGTACATATGGACATGCACTCTCTCTCATTCACGGACACACTGCAGGCCCAGGACTGGTCAGAGAGAGGTGTAGGCAGATACACACACCTCATCAATGTTTCATAATATGAGGATGAGAAGAGAGGAGCTGATACATTCTGCACTCCACAACATTCATACAACTCCCTGCTTGGTAAAAAGAAAAAAAAGAAAAACAGATACTGCAGAGGCCCTCATATATATATTGATGTTAACTGGAAAAAGCAGCCAGTGTAGCACCTGATAATTACTG